TGCTGCTAACCATACTTCACTAGGGCTAAGGCCTACATTCAATTCCCCAGAATGACTTCACTAACTGTCCTCTTCGTCCCCGGGTCACCTACTGCCACTTAAGACAAAACTGTTTTTGACTCAGCTAGGTCTTCTGACAAGAAACCCTTCTTTATAAAGATAAGCCCAACCTGGAGCTTACCCTTATCAAGTTGGATCCAATGTACTGCCTTCCTTGCACTCTCATGCATGCAAAGAGAACTCTCCTGTTTCTTGCTCTCAGGGCTCTTGATGAGAACATCAACTCTGTCTTCGAGTTACTCTCACTGATCTGTTGTCTAGCTATGTCTATCTGCAAAGGTAATGCTTTTGAGGCAATGAACATCCCGTATGAGGATGTGAAAACCAAACATCAAAGCCTCCCCCTTATATGGAAAAGGTGTAATCTCTGGACATTTTATGGAGACAGTGGAGTCAGAGGCAAATTGCCTTGAAACTAACCACAAGCTCAGCTTCAATGAACCTCCCTACCCCCTCCTCTCCAGCAGCTGGCTACCAATTGCCGTGCTCGCTGTCAGATTTAAATCTCACTAGATAGTGTGTTTTTAAGTAAACTGTGTTTTTTCTTTCCTCAATTTTGTTTACTGTCACAGAAGTTTGTTGCACTTTTCCTTTGTACTCTTGCAAGTGTCAAATATTTATTGTATGTTCAGATGTCATTCATCTGTATTTTAAATAAGTATAGGGCTCTAGAACTTGAATTCCGCAGTCTACTGCCTGCAACCTACACAGATTACCAATACCTCATGCATTATTTCCTAGTCCATTTCTTCCATTCGCTAAATTCTCAATCACCAATAGTGCGCCCCCGCTCACTCACCCCCCAGAAAGGCGTCGGCCATGTTCGTCCTCTTTTTCTTAGCGCCATTATATGGAACGTGTTGTTCCAGCTCCAAATTTTGGGGAGTTTTTTCCTTCGCTGACGCATGTTTCAGTGTTATTCTTTGATCAGCTTGTTTGTTTCTTTGTTCTGACTCTGGTGAACGGTTAGATTGTTCCTTTTTCATTCTATTTCTGGATATTTTACCTTTTCTTTTCAGTCTTGTGCAGGTGGCAGACTGACCTTGTATTGACCTATTTTCAGAGTTCACCAGGTGGTGCTGTTGTTTTTTGGATAAGTATATTTCCGTTGCATCAGAATAAATTGAGTGTGTTTATTTATTCTGCTTGCTTGAATGTGCTCTATGATTTGCCCCAGTTGTGGCATTCTTGGTTATAATTTGACATAACCAAGGTCATTAATATCAAGGAAACACAATTCAAAACGAATAACAATGTGGAGAGATATTAAAACAAGGCAAAAAAAATACATGTAGTGTGAATACGAATTGTAAATCTACTAACACATGAGTTAGAAGCCCCCCAAAAAAATTTTGAAGGAATTAAATTACTGATAGAAGATACAATAATTAACCATTATATTTAATCAAATTAAGAATTAGCAAAGTAATTAATCCATCTAATTCATCTAGACTGTTAGTCATCAGTTGTGTGGATCCAGTTAACAAGGCACTTAGAGTAGAATATTACAAATGACGAGACCAGGGCAAGTTTAGATATGTGTAGAATAGATCTGTTGAATTCTTTTTTGTCTGGGTGGGAAGAAGTGATTTCAAGTGGTTTCTGTTGTCAGGAGTAATGAGACATTTGCTTCCAACTTCAGTGGCGATGAATGTACAGGTGAAGCGGAGTTGGGTGATGTCATGGACTAAGTAAGTGTATTTACGGCACTTGTATGAGTGGCTTTTGTCAAAGTTTGTTTTGAATGTTATCGTTAGCTCCATGATTGTTATGTCCCATTTGCTTTTTCTTGATAATGACCAGATCAGGTTTGAGTGTTGTGGGGAGGATCGATGGAGGGATAGTGTTTCCACCAATGGCGTGTGTACCTTCTATATCAGAATACAGTTCAAGACTTGGTTTATTTGTTACGACCTCATCCATCATGGAACATATTTCAGAGAGGATGTTATTATGACGGTAAATAATAGCGGCCCTGTTGGAGCATCACTGGACAGAGATTGAAAACATGGCAAGGTGTTTCTTTCAATGAACAGAGAGAGTATTTTTCACTGACAGTTTTTTCCCACAGACAAAGATTGGAGTTGACCGGTAGTGTATCAATAATTGAATTGATACCGAAGTGAAGTACTTTTCTAGGCAGATTGTATAGGATGGATTTCCAGGTGATGTTGGTATTTTTTGTTTCCATTAGCTCCAAGAGTCCGCCCTGTTTGACCAAGGATTGAATTCTTCCTATCCATTCTTCTTGTATTTCATTCTCAATT